GCAGTTTGAAGAAGTCTGATTCGTACACCCTTAGGGAGACTACTTCTTACTCTGTAGACGACTTTGAAGTTTGTTTGCGGTGTAGCTTGGTGTCCGGATTCTATCAGATGTTCTAAGATGGAGCTGCGGGTGCATCGATTTTCTCCTTTGTAAAACCATGTTGGTAAGTGTTCGGTGATACGTTTGGAAAGCGAGCGCTGAGTACGGCCGTGATCAATGGTACTAAAAGTTGTTTTAGAATTGATGAAAATGGGATAGAAATTTGATAGCCATTCTACTCGTCCATTCGTTATGTTGCCGATTTGTTCTGCATATCGAATATGGAAACTTTAAATTGTGAGATGTTTGTAGGTTTCCAGATCGTAGATGTTACGAATTTCCTGGAATAATTTGAGCGCCGAGTCAGACTGAATCATTGTGCATCACTAAAAATAACCACAGAATGTTTAAGAAAAAATTCTGCTGAAAAAGCTGTGACTTGCACACAGCGAAACGTTCAGAAAAATTTTGTTTTGATTTCTTCTTAAACATACTGGGATTATTTTAAATAATTTATAATGTAAGATGTTTAGGCAGTGTGTCATCGAATGCACAGTCAGTGTGCGTCAAAAAGAAGAAAATGAAAATCTGTGAGATAGAAGCGATCGGCGCTAATGTCCAGATCCAGAGGAATAAAGATATTTGAATGAACAATATTCAATAGACAGGAGAATACCAAGAAGAAATGTACAGCGATTGTAGTTGTCTGCATCAGACAATACTTTAAGTGAGATAATTTCCAATTGAAATCAATAACTATGCTTATGGGATTAGAAAATAGTCTTCAAATTACTGTCTAAGTGACCGAATGGTCAACTTACTTCACCTCGTCACTTGAAGGTCCCAGGTGGGGCTGATGAAAAGTGTCAAACTACGACCAGTGTTCTCTTCTAGTTTACAGTGTTGTGGTGACTTATATCAATCCATGATCGCGACCGGAACAAATCAAATCTGTACAAACTGACTGTTGAAAATTGATCTTATCCTAACTAGTGACTAAATACAGGACTAAGTTTTCTGTAGTTTCCAATGAGTTGTTATCAGCGAGGTTGACGTGTAATCAAGCTTGAAATAAATGAAATATAAACTCATACTACTTACAAGTATTAAGTAACAAAAAGATAAAACAACACAAATGGAAACTGGCAGTAAGGGATACGTAAGAAAGGAGTTCATAAAAACAGTAGGTGGTGCTCACTTCTTTAGCATATTTATTGAAGAAAGATAGCAGGTGAGGTGACGAAAGAGGCTTGTTTTTCAGCCACTCAATACCTCATCTAAACTAATAATTTCTACAGTTATGTCAATGAAAACAAATAACAAATGCATAGTTTGTTTTAATTTAATTATATATTTTCCATTTATTGATTATATTGACCTGAAATATTCCGTCTCTGTTGACATACTGGCACACAGCACAGTGACTTCGACAGTGTCTAAGGATCAGCTTATTTTCATTAGGTGGATAGTGACTAGTAGTGGGATCATGGATAGACATTGTGTCCCATCTAGAACCTATCAGCTGGAGGCACCTGCGATCCGCAGTAACGAGTCGTGTTCCCACTTATATTCTAAATCTTCAGTGTGTTTGTTTCAAACACCAAAGTGATCTACTGTAATTAATCAGCCGGAAAAAACAGATTTGGTTATAAAACACAGAATAACTGAGCAAAGAATATCCTTTTCAATAATTTCCTCTTCTCGCTCTACAGTTATATACGCATGTTTATATACATAGAATATTCTAGAATTGTAGTCAATAACAATATTAGTGTTTTTTTAAATAATATCGATTTGTTAAGTAAGATCACAATGGAATTACGGTTTATTAAAGATGCTTAAATTATAATGATATGAAAAATATAGATAATCAACTAAAATTAGGGAAATTTCCGCAACAAACTGAGGATCATTCGAACCTAGATGGCGAAGGTAACGACAATGTCTGAACTGGTTTCTTTTGGACCCATCGATCAGGCTTCTTAATGTGGATCCCAACAGCCACAGCGATATTTAGTGATCGAACTGTTAAGGCGAGGTTAGGATTAGTTGGTATGCGGTAAATAACTTTGAAAGCTGCCTCGTTAACATCAATCTTGTGTTCTGTATCCAAAGGAATGGTACTACGAGTAGATTTTGTTTGTCCTTTACTTAACCACACAGGGTGATGTTCGGAAATCCAACGAAAAATGCGGAAATGGGAAACTCGTTGACGTTTGAGATGACGGATAATGGGTTCGAGTCTAATTGGGAGCACTTTCACTCACGGAGGGGTGGGGTTGCAAATGCATACAGCCGGAGGTTACTAAATAGTACGAAGCACACAGCTTAGATTTTACTGCAAGTCACCTCTGACCAAATTACAATCTCTACGTGTTATGAAGAACACATTTGTAGGAATCAATAGTGAGAGCACCGATAAATTGAATTACTAAGGATCTTGACCCATTGGACAACTCATCAGTGTAAAAATCACTCCATGCTATTGAATATAAGCTGAGATGTTGTAAATTCTGATTTAATAATACTTTGATAATGTTATCAGCAGCATTGAACAGCGAGATGTCTGTAAAAACAACAACAGTATCGTTTTGTTTTTCATTCACTGGGAAATACAAAATTGCTTTGTAATAATGAATATCATATAAGTAGTGACCAAATTTCTTTCAAACAGTTAAAAGTGAACTTCGTATGGACAAATATAGCTGCCAGTTTGACCGGCTGTATATTGAAGATCAGACAGGCAGCCAGATGAAACACAGAAACAAAATGGGACAATACGAACCAACAGATTGAGAACCAGCTGGCTAATAAATATACCGAAGAAAATGGAGGCAGATCAGACAAATGGTGAGAAGTTCTTGGCGTGATATGAAGTGCCAAGTCGCCGATCGAGTGCATCCGGAACAGGAAATGAGGAATGAGGCGTGAGTCCAAGTAGTGAAATAGCGGATATTATGTTAAGACGAGATGAGGGATGTTTGGCGATTGTAGAGCCAGCTGAGGCTGATTGAAAAGAACAGGAAAAAACGGAATTATGCTGTTGACGCTCATATTCCCCTAGGAATCTAATTCTATATTATTGTTGTTCCTTTGGTTTCCAAGTATAACACAGGGCTTCAACAACACATCTCCACTTTCTTCTATTTTCCGTAGTCCTCTTCAGCTTGCTGGCTCCACTAGTGACCATAATTTCTCGTCTCCTCCTCTCGAAACGATCTCCTCTGTGTCATCCTCACACTAACGAACCACTTGTCGCTTCCCATGGAGATTCCACTCGCACATTGGCCTGCGATGAGCGGAATGTCATTCGATGGCCTTCTCAAAGTGTGATTGATCAATCCATCTCCATTTTCTCCTACATATTTCTTGAGCGATCGGCTCTCACTTGTTAGTTTGTTTCCAGGCAGAGTTACTTGCTGCTAATTATTTCTGGCCGGCCGGCTAGCTAACCTTTTGATCTTCACTATGGAGTCAGTGAAGTGAACCAATGTTGATGAAAGTCCGCAACCTGTTGGACACGTTTCTGACTCGTATAGAAGAACTGACTGAGTGACTTCATACTTGTGTTGGAAATCCGAATCTTGTTCTGAGTGCATAAGATTTTCAAACAAGTTCCAGGTTGATGGAGACGTATGTTGCCTTTTGAATTCTCGCTGGCTGACTGGCTGGCTTTGACATCTTCATAGTTTCCGACCCATATAGAAGAAATGGCTGACTTACGTTACATTTGTATTGAACAGAATCCGAATTTTGTTCTTTACGCTGGCTGAGTGAGTTTAGAAGATTTCCGACCTGGTTTTAGGTTGATGAATGTGTACGTTACCTTTCCGATTCCAGCTGGCTAGGTGGCTTTAACATCTTCATCCTTGCCGACTGCTTGTGGTTGAAACAATGCTTCCTGGCCAGATAAGTGAAGGAAGTAACCTCTGACGAATCTCTTTCACTGATGGTGATTTGTGCTGCTTGTTGTGTCTGTTGCTGCCGGCAGAGGTTGGCTTTCTTCACCACCACCGTCTTCTCTATGTTCACCTAATGGATAATTTATATTACTAATTTTTCTTATGAACAGTCAAGGTTTAAGCCAATTGGTGGATGGTGACTTGCAATGGAACCCAAGACGCACATTTCGTCCTATTCGGGATTCATCATCTGGATGCACCTGCATTCCCCAGTAAGTAAGTGATAGTGTGTCCAATTGGTCTAGCAGATAACGCACTGGCGTTTCAAGCGATGAGTAGCTGGTTCGAGCCTCGGTAAGAACTTCAACACTCACTGGGGTATGCAGGGTCATTCAAACAGATGAAGAGTCCCAAAGAAGGATGAAATACACATCCTAGACTCAATTAATCGACTTCATTTGCACAAGGAGGTGACATGTCAACCTGAAACCAAGCAATTCAGCCCAATCAATCGGCATGAAAATCTAAACTGAATTGAACAGTCATAGCCTAAATTCAATAATATCGCTTTCATCCCAATGTTGTGCAAATACTCTAACAGTGATTCAACAAATAACAACAATAATACATGATCCAATAGTTAGTTCGTTTAAAGTATAGAATATTCAAGGTTGGAAAGGATTTAGATTCACAAAGAATCTATGTAATCTATTTTCATTTCATTCCATATACCAGATCACAGTCTGAAGTGCGCTTATTTTTAGTTTTTTTTTCTGTTTTTTTAAAGATATAATTTAAGTGTTACAAAGTTTTTCACAATTATCAAAACTAAAGCGCGATCTTTGTTTCGGTTTATTATTCTTATATTCTTAAGCTTTTGTTTTTTTTATCAAAATATTACCACAATCTCGTCCTAAATTCGCATTAACATTCTAAGTAATTGACGAAAGATGAAAGTCCATATATTCAGAAATTAATACAAACAAAATATCTCGAAAGATTCCACTTTAAAATGTACACAAGTTTTATATCTATCTATCAGGTATATATATATATATATATATAAATTAGATACCAGTCGCACAAAGTCTGCACTCAACACAAACACCATAACATGAATCGAAACTGGTTGCATGTCTTGACAATCCTCATTTCGCTGACGACGTTAAGTTCAGCACTAATCCCCAAACCATATGAATACAATCAGACGACTACATTGTGCAACATTGTTGAATCATTAGATATTAGTCATGAATACTATTCATGTTTCATACTAAAAGAAGCCTTGAAACGATTCGATGAACGCTTGGCGAAAAGTTATACCCCATCACCATCAAAAGATCCGGCTGATTGTGTTATAACATCATTAACTATCCATATAGAACAATCATGCGATGAAACAGAAAATAAAGTTTGGCCATCTGATATGATGGACGAGTCATGTAAGTAGGATGTTCACTAACTCACTCACTCACTCACTTACTTCAATCGTCTCCTCATTCCAACGCATATTTCATTTTCAGACACTGTGAATATTGCTGACGGTGTTATTCAAATATCTTCACAAGAGATATGGGGAACACTGCATGCTCTGGAGACGATTCTTCAATTAGTCTACAGAAGTGAATCAGATTCGGTTTGTTCAAATATTTTTTTTCGTAGTTTTCATCTCCTTTTTTTGTTGATAGAAAGTGATTTATGAAGGTGCTATAAATGATGTGCCAGTATTTTTACATCGTGGAATTATGATCGACACTGCTAGACACTTTCTCAGTGTCTCTGAAATCGAGAAGATGATAGTAAGTTGGTATTGAGTCGAAGTTGAAATATATATTCGCTGTTATGCAGGATGCAATGTCGATGGTTAAAATGAATGTTCTTCACTGGCATGTAACAGACGATGAATCCTTCCCTATGGCTATCACCGCTTTTCCTGACCTTTCTACACAGGTAAATTTATGCATTTAAGTTTACAGTTATACGTTACGTTATCCTACTCCAAAATTATGATGGAGATATGTAGATGACAGTTTTTGCACACAGTGTTAGGTTCTTCACACCTATATATAAACTCACTAGTAAAGGGAATACAGTTCACATTTGAATCTGAAAATGAACAAGGAGAATTACCTATGAAGTTAGATTGTAAAATAAATCGAACGCAAGAAGGTGAACTGCACAGATTATCGGATTTTGCTAATAGATATTTAGACTTTAATTCATCGCATCTGTTGTTATGTGTAACGGCAGGCTTAGTTAAGTATCTAACAAATTGAGCGATAATTAACTCTAAGTAGTACATCAAAACACCTAAATGACGAAATGAAACAGATAGAAGAATAGTTGGTTGGTGTTAAATTCATTAAGAAGATCAAAAAGCGTCAAGATCAAAATAAAAATGATGGGAAGCTAATAATGATGACATAAATCACAAAGAATATAAGGCATCTATAGTTCTACCATATAAAGAGGAGAAATCTGAGGCCCTACTTAGGATTCTTAATAAAGGCACGGATTAGGGTGGCATTTAAACCTACAAACTCACTCAGGTAGGACAAGTTCTGTAGGCTAAAGGACACTGTACGTCGACTCAACTAGACAAAATAATATAATTTACAAAACACCTTACAAAGACAGTGATTGATGTCAACTACATAGGTCAAGCTATTAGATTAGCAGTAGTCAGATTGTCAGAACATAAGAATTTAGCTAAGGTTAGAATGATTGACGCCACGAAGGTAAGTAATTTAGAAAGAACTCAGGAATTGCACTGCATGCATTAACACACAACCACACAATAGGGTGATTGGGACAGAGTTGAAAGTCTAAAACGTAATGTGGGTAGGTGGAGAGAGAGAGGTTGATTACTGAAACTTTGTTCAAGGAATCTACACCCAACACATGGAATGGGAGTGACTCATAGCCAATACCAGTGATATGTAGAATACTACAACCAATCAATAAATCAATAGATGAGAAATAATCGGATTACATAATTGTACGTCGGTGGTACAGTGGTAGAGTGCTCGCCAACCACGCAGGTGGTCCGGCTGACGCACTCCTATACCTGGCTAAGCCAGTAGTAAGACTGGTAAACAGGGAAGGTTAGGCATGAGGCTAGCCCCCTATTCCTGTTAAAATAATCACCACTGATACAGAAACTTCAAGCCTCTAGCTTGAAACCTCCACTGGGAAGTCAAAAGAATGAAAAGTAATATGATTATGAGCAGTAATAAACTGTGCTCGAAATGTGGTCACCCGTAAATATTACTTACTGTGAGACTTTAAGAAAATAAAAATTTTCTCCATTATGGAATTATACTCTACAACAGTTCATAAGTTCTATTTTTATATCAAATTTATACTTCTGCTTAACAATTTTATATATATAAAATAGGGAGCTTACAATTATCAACTTATGACATATCAACGAAATGAAGTTGAGTCACTGATAGAGTTTGCACGTTTGAGAGGGGTACGTGTCTTACCAGAATTCGAAACTCCAGGTAAGTTTTGATTAATACTACAATAATTTTGTGGTAGTCATTTCTGTCCTTTGAATATGCACCTCATTTCCACTTATTTAGGAAGTCAGATATCTTTGATTTGCTGTGGTTAACCTATGGCTATTGCATTTATCTAGTTCCCTAGCAGGAGTACTCTTTAGACTACGCCTAGTTAATTAGACGATAACAGACTCAATCGAGAGGGGTTGTTGGGCTTCAGGTTTGCAGTCACAACCTACGGCTAATGAAGCCTAGAGTCTTCTCTTCCATTCCCAACTCATGGTATAAAAGGCAAATTTATGGAGCAATTCTTTCCCACTTTATTTTTCTTGCGATTGAAGTGGGTTCATTATTATTATTCCCTTGGATTCCAAGTAGAACATAGGAGCTCAACAACACAGCTCCACTTTGTTCTACTCTCTGCTATCCTCTTCAGCTGGCTGGCTCAACGACTGCCCATGATCTCTCATCTCCTCCAACTTGCCATACGATCGCCTTCATGCCACTCTCGTAGCGACGACTCACTCGTCGCCTCCCATTGGGATTTTATTCAAGCGATGATATGCATGGCCCGTGATGTCATTCGACGGCCGCCTCAGCGTATACCCGATCCATTCATCTCCACTTTCTCTTACATATTTGTTGACTAATTGGTTTTTGGTTCCAAGCCACAGTTTCTTGTTGTTAATTCTTTCTCGCCAGTCGGCCTACTATTTGATCTTCAGTATGGAGCCAGAGAGCGAAGGCAGCTGAGGATAATAGTCTGTAACTTGTTGGAAGTCCTTTTCATGACGCACGCGCAGTGCACCTTTCTGACCCGCATAGAAGAACTGACTGTCGGAGTGACTTCATATTTGTGCTTAACAGAATCTGAATATTGTTCTGTACGCTGGCTGAATGGGAGCAGTATATATCCATGTCTCATCCATGTCTCCTTTCGAACAACGCCTAACTTCACTTTTCTCATTCAGGTTCCACTTGAGCGATAGACTGGCACGCGGTGTCGCCCAATGGTCTCCTTCCTAAGTATCCGATCCATCTTCATTTTATTCGACGAATTACTTCGGCAAAAGGTTCCTTCATTGGCGCATTCCTAGAGTTTCTTGTTACTAATTCTTTGTGTCATGGCATATGATAAAAGTATACGACCCAATAGAAGTTTCTGACTGACTTGGGATTGGTGTCAAAACTGATTTCAGAGTTACGGTTGTCCGCCTGGACCTTCTGATGAAAGCAAACTTAACCAATGTTCTCACGATTCATAGTAGTACAACGTAATCTCTTTTTGAAAGATGTTTCCACCTGGACGTAAAATCTAAACTCCACTCCATAATTGCGTCTAACTATTTACTGCAAGAAGAGCGAGTTTACGACCCGCACTAATCTCTCTATCTTCCTTCTGATTTTAGCCCACACACAAACATGGGGCAGTATTTCTCCAAAGTTTCTAACCCAATGTTATAAAGATGGACAACCGGAGGAACGATACGGTCCAATAAATCCAACTGATGATGATAATTTCAATGCTTTATCAAGTATCTTTAACGAAGTACTCAGTATATTCCCGGATACATTAATTCACCTCGGTGGTAGAGACGTGGCATTTGACTGTTGGTAAGTAAAAAATTCATTCATAGTCGAGTATTTTATATTATATGAAAGCAATGATGAGACAAGGAAGGGTGTGAAGTACTGAACAGTTGCTTCTTCCCATTTCAGGACTCTTCAGAAGTACGCACCCATCATCATGGTTCAAACCAATACTTGATTAATAATCTGGTGCTCACTAATGACTGGCTATATACAGGGAAATACCTGGAGTTCCAATGACAAGTCGTTATTAGCGGCTTTCTCCATGTCTGACTGGCAGCCACGCTAAATATCACGAATTGGCAGAAGCTGAAATTCATGGGTGGGTCAATAGTATCGGGCCCCAGTATCTGAATGGTCAGCGAGCTCACCTTGTGACTTGAAGGTTAGGGGTTCGATTCTTGAAGGATGCTTAATGATGAAATGTCCCAAAATTGGATGAAACAACTATCTTACAGTGGTTCATTAACTTGCGATAGAATCCCTGTATACCTATACTTGACCATGATTATTTTAGATAGGACACGACTAGGAAACCGGTGTCTACTTTGATAATGACCGTTCAAAAAACTCATCATGACATTAAACAAAAATGAACAAGAAGCTGACCAGACAGATACCTATCTCTTCCTCGATTTCATTCGCAAACCAGATGTGCAATCGCATATATACATACATACGTTACACGGACGCAATTATTATTATCCAAGTATTGGTTTGTTGGGATTTGACTGATTGGTTACAGGATTTCATCATGAGCTGACATTGGTTAAAGAATCACTGAAAAACCAATAGAGTACTGACAGCTGTTTCGTCAGTCTAGTTTGAGACTCGTCATCACTACGCAACCACCGGGGCTTCAATCCTTGAAGTTCTACAAATCCCTACAAACCAATACATGAATATCAATGAGATGCTCACTAGAGACTGGTTCTATTCGGGTGAGTAGTTACCTGGATTCTAGTTGGAATTCGTGACCATTGGGGTACAGCAGGTTGGGTGTGAATTGGAAGAAGTTGGAACTCATGGGCCATTAGATCAGGTACCAGTGGCTTAATTTTCAGTGAGCTCGCTAGCCTTGTAACTAGAAGGTCCTGGGTTCGAACTCCTCGTGGTGGGTGCGTACTGCTGAAGAGTCGCCAACTAGGACGTGAGAAACAGCTATCCTATACTTCCTGCAGGTTTTCCGATGGTTCTCTAACCAATGTCAGATCAATGAAATTCTGTAGCCAATTATTATTATCACTGATTAAAAATGCCCATTAAAATTTTCAAAAGAATTAACATGGAACAAAGAGTACTCTTTTCGATAAATTCATCATCAGGTTCTACAATTATATATACATTATAATGAATGAATGCATTAGTCTTATGAACGACATTAATGCTGTTTAAATAGCATCAAATCAATAATATTGATAAATTACAGCTGAACAGCATCAACATACAATAAACTGAATGTCAGAAGAATTAGGAAAGGTAATAGTACAAATTCATGAGTTTATAGTTTCTACTGAGGGCTGGCCAGGGCGGTAGTAGGGGCTGGACTTGTTTCTTTTGGACACAGAGCACTGGTTGTTTGAGGCGAATTGCAATAGCCTGTGCTGTTTGGAGCATGTGGTGCTTCGACGATTTTGTATATTATGGAGAAGGATTCGTCTACTCTGGCTTTGTGACCGGTTTGCACCAGATGGTCTAATATCAAGCTATTAATAGTTTTAACTACACCTTTACTTAGCCATAGTGGGATATGTTCTCGAGCACGAAAAATCAAGTTTCTAGAGCAACGGCCAACATAACTCGCTCCACTTTTTAATTCCATATAATAATGAAGGAAAAGAATAAAGGTGAAGAGAATTTTCAAATTGATATGCATGTGAGTAAGTGTCAATACTGAGTTCATAAGTGGCTTAAAAACAGAATTACACAGCATTAAAAAAATCGTCGGTTTTGATAAATACAGATGTGAAATTCGCCTTTTGATTTTTTCTTAAACACTGCGGGATTATTTGGTTACAGGATTTCATCATGAGCTGACATCAGTCAGAGAACCATTGGAAAACCTGCTGGGATTACTGGAAAGCTGTTTTGTCACCCTAGTTTGGGACTCTTCATCACCACGCACCCACCGCCAGGGTTCGAACCCAGGAACTTCTAGTTACAAAGCGAGCACATAGATCATTAAGTCACTGGGACTAAAACTTTAAAAACCATGGGATTATTTTAAATAATAATTTATGACGATTTCCCATGTTTCAAATCGTGTTACTTATGTAAATAAATGCGATTGTACAGCTGCTTGTGAGAATGAAATCACCGGAAAGGTTTGCTGAATTTGTTCTTTTCTTCCATATGTGTCAATGTCACTGTAAGTCAAGAGGCTTTTATCTTAGAGCCTTAATTCCTCGACTGCTTAATACTATTAATACTTTTAGAAACAGTCTTGGTTTTTTTCTCAAGAGTGGAGAACAGCACTTGCAGCATATAGTTCACTTATACATCCACTGAGCACTCAGATTATGTATCGTTAGCTGAGTGATAAAACACCAACTGTTGGCAAACGCCAAAGAACTAAAAATCCATTCGGTTGTTACGTTGGTTCTACGAAAGCATAAATATTTAGATGAGCACAAGGTAACGTATTATGTCATGCGTATGATCCTATGCTATTTGATGCCGACTGCATTCCATCAGTAAAGCTTACAATGTGACCACCAGCCTACGAGGCTCCGAAGTATAGGACATTGTGAATTGTTGTTCGATGGTTGGACGCAGTATGCAGGAAGCCGTAGATCACATTGCTAACCTGAATGACAGAATACGGTGTACTTGAAACGAAGGAAGAAGAGGCATGAAATAAGTCACTACTTAGTTGTCCAATCAAAACAGTCATTTAAGTCCTACATGAGGTTAATGACGAAACCGAATAGCCCAGTCATAACTTCCCAGACTGCAGTCAGTACGAGATAACCTGGATGGGAATCTCGAGAGGCATACTAGTACCTTCAAAAATACAGACGTGATATGCTGAGTTGTGGGTGTCAACCAACAAGCAGGAAACCTACGTCAAGGAGGAATTCCTACTGTTTGCCTTCAGCCATGTAACAGCAATTCGGAAATCTAATCAATGGGAAAATCTTTCCTGGAAAGTGACCGCCCACTGGGACTACAGTCAGACATTATTATTTCCGAGGAAAAGGGATCCACCCTGAATTTGTCTAATTTCAAAATTCAAGTTCACGGAGAAATGCTTAATCAGCCTGTCTAAAATCTCTTAACCCTACATAAAATTAACAATAGGGAATTTAAATCAGGTTAACTGAATATAAGGAATAAGGTGATTCATATTGCACTGACTGGTATTCTCATGAGAACAAAGACTTTTAATTGGTGAACATATGTGTTCATGCGTTGAGTTTTCAATAACATTGACTTTTCGAAGATAGATGTCTGGACTGTCGGTGACATATGATCTCTCACACACATGTCCATACTATCCGTGGAATGCCAAATAAGTGGTTGATTCAGTGGTAGGATCGTCGCCAATCACGCATGTGACCATTGTTCGATTACTGGCTGATGCATGCCTAAAAGCGTCTAGCCATTGGTAATCCCCGTAAGGGGGAAACGTTGGGCATCAGGCCAGCGTCACATCCCGTAAGGAAACACCTCACAGCGACTGAAAACTCAAAGCTTAAACCTGTATTGATATATTCCTCTCAAAATGGTAAAGTAATAAAATAAAGCCCACTGAATACGACTCTACTGTTCCCGTTATGTTTAACCCTCCATCTCAACGAAATTTATGACCTCGTTGTTATTATTATTTCAAAAGAATAGACACGGAACAAAGAGAACTCCTTTCGATAAATTCATCATCAGGTTCTACAATTATATATACATCATAATGAATGAATGGATGAATTAGTCTTATGAACGACATTAATGTTGTTTAAATAACATCAAATCAATAATATTGTTAAATTACAGCTGAACAGCATCAACATAAAATAAACTGGGTGTCAGAAGAATTAGGAAAGGTAATAGTACAAATTCATGAGTTTATAGTCTCTACTGAGGGCCAGGGCAGTAGTAGGGGCTGGACTTGCTTCTTTTGGACACGGAGCACTGATTGTTTGAGGCGAATTGCATTAGCCTCTGCTGTTTGGAGCAAGCGGTGCTTCGACGATTTTGGTAGTTTGTTAGGCACCCGGTATATTATGGAGAAGGATTGGTCTACTCTGGCTTTGTGACCGGTTTGCACCAGATGGTCTAATATCGAGCTGTTAATAGTTTTAACTACACCTTTACTTAGCCACAGTGGGATATGTTCTGGAGCACGAAAAATCAAGTTCCTAGAGCAACGGCCAACATAACTCGCTCCACAAGCGCAGTTGAATTGATAGATAACATCTGAAGTGGCCAGTCTAGGTACTTCATCTTTCAGTCGAAGTAGCACCATCGGTCTTGTAGAGAATAAGATGTTTAGTTCGACAGCAATAAAAATCCTTTGAACTGCTTTTCTTAATTTCTTTATAATTAACTCACTTGGTTTATCGCCCTTGAATTGTAGTCGTATATAAAGGGGCTTCTTGTTTACAGATAATGGGTCGTCCTTTTCAGCCTTCTTCGTCATATGTTTCTTGATAAACTTGTCAGGATAACCATTTTCGATTAAAGTATCATATACCATGTTTAATTCATCTTTAATTACTTCTTCAGAGCATATAGCTCTAACTCTGTGGCTAAGGGTCTTCACCAAATTCCTTTTGTATTTGATGAGAACGAAGCTATGAAAGTTTGTATATTGTCTCGTCCAAGTACTTTTTCTATGTAAATTTCTTTTTATTTCTTTTTATTATTTCAATTAAAAATCATCGTGTTATCGATAACACTCTCCCTTTAGGCAATCTAACCCAGATATTCAAGAATTCATGAAAAAACAAAGCTTTGATGAGAATTACAATGCCCTGGAGGATTATTATTTTCAAAAACTTATGGAGAATGTTCTTGGAATGAATTCATCAGAATGGACAGTTTCACCAGTTATTTGGCAAGATGTATTTGAGAATGGATTCCGTGTAAGTAGTTTAATTGTAGTAGTCGTAGTATTTCATACATAATCTAATTTTTAAAAAATTGTTTTTCCAAGTTATTTTGACCATGTATCAGTTTGTAAAAGCAAAGATAAAAAGTAAGTTTCTAACGGAACTTTGAGTATTTCGTGTTTGAGTTTTCATTAAACCATTGGAAACTATCATAGGAACACTGTTAAGCTGTTTTAACCTTGTTTTGGACTGATCGGTAGTACACAGTCACTGAGTTTTGAACCCAGTATCTCTAGAGTAAAAGACAAGCAATGAGGCCACTTAGCCAATGGAACACTACCTAATGGTCCTTGAATACCATCTTCTATCAATTATTGATTTTAACCAGACCGCCAGCCAACATCATTGACGAGTATCTATCCTTGCCGCTGACCAAGTGGACCCCATTTTTTGCTACCGTTCACGAAAACTGTAGGCAGCTTACTTTTTTATCCAGTCACTAGCGGTAAGTGCTTTTAAGGGTCAGAAGTGAGATATCATGGGTCACTGAGTAGGTTACCAGTGCTTTACCTTATAACTAGAAGCTCTTGTGTTCAAAATCCGGTTGATGTGTGTACTGCCGATGAGTACTAAACAAGGGTAAAGCAGCTTTTCAATACTTACATGATGGTTTTTAATGGTTCTTTAAATGATATCGAACTGTGACCGATTTTGAAACATAGAGTGGCCCCTAAGTTTTTATTGAATCAACTATGAACATGCACAATAAAAATGATTCAACACCTACCCCTGACATCTCAAAACATTCCAAAACCTTTACGACAGCAAACTGGAATGAAGTAGAAACACCGAGTTCGGATGTTGTGTATTTGAAACTGATATGGTAGGCAAATAACGCATTGGGCTAAAAATGTTGTGCGGTAAAAAATAATGGTTTCCCTGAGTGATAATATATTCAGTAATCAAATTAAAATGGAATTATTTACTGCCAAAGCACCCCTCCCCAACGAGTCATTTGAAGACGGTATGTAAAATGCTAGGTTCAAGTCATTACAAGTGTTTCAGATGACAGTGTCACAAGAATGCTCGAAACTAGAAGAGTCCAGTTACCACTTCCGTCGCTTTGCTGTCAATCGCTTAAGTATGAGTCAGTATGCATTCAGGAAAAAATGTACAAGATATTTCACTTACGAACGACCATAAGTCTAAATAACGCACACATTGAATCACCTCGAAATACATTCAAAAAATAAACGAATTCCACACCTGGGCAAAGACAGAAATAATAGATTTCAACCCAGATTTCATCACCAACTGAAGTAATTTCAAAAACACTAAGCACCTTACAATATCAGATGGTGAATAACAAACCAGTTGGCACGCAGTTAATGGCGATCCGTGATGAAATCCATATCTTCAGATTATTTACAGATTGTAGGAATAATTGTGAAAGGCCGAACAACCTCTCCGAGCGGACAAAATGAATTTCCATTTGAGAGTTCAGAATTGAAATTGTACCTGGATAAATTCAACAGGATCGGAAGTAGTCTCTATAGGGGGTTGAAAGACACTAGCTGGTTGAGACCCAGTCATATTTCGAGATCCTCGCATAGTTGTTTAACCACACACTGTCTTACGATTGTCAGTGACTTAGCAGATAAAACCGCAGCTGCTTCCTTCATCACATCAGTCAACCTCCTGTAAAACGAGGACTGATTTTATGATTCTCACTGACACACTCATCTTCTCCCGTCCATGGCCCATAATAACTTTTATTATCTTTCTTTCAGTCAAGCTGTCAGAAATTGCAAGCTTTCCAAAGAAATATTTGCTTGCACTAAATTTTGCCTTGTGCTCTCCTGTTCCACTGCACTTCACAGTCTCAGGAATTCCTAGATTCTTCCAAAACATTTCTCCGTGAATTTGCATTCATCTGTCAGGAGGACTCAATATTTATGGAGGCTTTGTTAAGCAAGTGAGAGCAGAAGAGAGAACTGGATATCTGATTCGGCTTAGTTTGAAAGTACTCCGGGAATGAAACCTAGACAGACCCAGAGGGGAAACGTCGAGCTTGCACAAAATCCTGTCAGGCAGGATGTTGTGCAATGACAAATTAAATCCAATGCAAGTCAAATCCTAAACCACATCAACAAAGCCGAACAGTGCCAAAATTAAATACTTCTATCAACACCCAATTTGATGAACACCATAGGTCACAAATTCTATCCATCACTCCGATTGACATAAGCCTAACTTTCAAATGTTAGTCTGTTAGTGTTAATCGACTCACAGGTAACGTCATGGGTACATGCTACACAAGAGTCCCAATCCACGATGAAACAGTTATCCAGTACGCCTACTCAGCTTCTACTGTAGTAAGCCAAGTAATATCCACCAGTCATCAAACTTCAAACCATTCACAGCCCTATAAACCAACACTTCAAATTACATCCAGAAGACGTTTCCACATTCTATCAAGTTTCTACACTAACTTAAAACGTAGTTCCTGCAGAAATGTCACTACTCCTCCGAGTTTCTAAAATCCCTTCTATAGACATTATGAATTGGAGAAATATTTTCAGAATTGAAATATGTACACACTACTAATAATACTTCTACTTGTGCAAAACCATTTACACCGAATCCATGAAATAGAATGTTGAAATATACGTAGTATTCTGTTAACAATGCAGTATTGAACTGTCTGAAAAGTATTCTGTCTCTAAGAGTAAATAGAATGTCCAAGTATAAATGTGTATTATTCTTTTACTAATGCAGTACTGATCTGTGAGAATAATTATTCTGACTCTAGCAACAAATAGAATTTTCAAATATTCCGTTGGAATATGATTCTCTGTACCACACCACCACTGTGATTGTTCCACCTTTCACAATTATCCCTAGAATCTGTAAACAATCTGAAGAAGGATTTTGTCACGCAACGTCATGATTTATATAACTGTATGTAACGGATTCTCTTTATGATTTTCGATGACCATTAGAGGTTCTCTATGTGATTCTTTTTGTGACAAAATCCGCCTTTTCTCATAGCTTATATATGGAAACTTTTTATTTATTGCACAGATTTTTTCCTTATTGAAAGTGCACGTTATTTAAAGCTTTGCATGTTTTTATTTTTTTGACTTACCTCGATCTCCATAAGCGAAATATCTTCCACGTTTTCTTGAAATCATGCTGACTGACGCTCAAGTGGTTGACATCTAAGCGTGCGGATCTTAGTGGTTTGCATTACTCTTCTGTGTTGAGTTGTATCGTGATGGGGCATTGAATCCAAATATATAAGACAATACCCTTCTAAAATAATTTGACCTGGATGATATGTTGTTATGATCCATATGGCCAACTGTTATGTACCTGTCGTCAGTTGCTATAAACTCGTAGACAGCTGATACGACTGAGTGAGCGTATGTGTAGGTATAAGAATACTGACACAGTTGACAACTCAACTGATATACTAGACACACCTATTCGTCCGTGGTACCTTCCTCTTGATGATGAAATTTTTCAGTCATCCGGTCACACTGTGAATCACATGAGGAATCATGCGATGATAATTATTCCTATTATGTCACCCACTGATTCCGAATTCCACTTATCCCATTGTCTTTCATTACAAGAATGGCTCACAGAATTTTCTGTGTCACAACCAATCGGATGCCCTATCCTCTGGTAGACCATTAGCATTATTAGTACATATATTTATTTATGCACATGTAAGTGTCGTTCCTGTGACCAGTGGTTGTGTCAATGAATTATTCACTGTTTAGACAAGCCTAATATGACTCATCTTTCATATAAGACTAATTAAATGCTTTATTATAAGTGCAGAATGGAAGCATGGTAAGGCCATGACCAACAAGCCCCTATGAACGAAGTTAGAACTCACGCAAAGTTAGTGAAATCGCTTGAAATATGTATAGTTGCAATATGTCTTTTGAATAACTCAGAAAGATGACGTTTATATTCAGTCGTGTAAGAACTACTACGAACCAGCAACCATCATGTTAGTGAGCCATCAGTACTATCAGGATAGTATATCTCACACCATACCTACAGTAGAGCTTCTGTTATATGTATATATATATGTATATATATATTAGAACAAGACATATAAGCGAACAATATTGTTGTTTTCAAATAGATCTTCTTCAGGCTTTACTTTAATTTTCATAGATTTATATATAAAAATTTTGACCAATCACGGTGATTTTGTGGATAAATTAATAATGGTGCTTATAATGTGATAAATGTTTTGAACGCCAGTGATTATAATGATAACAAAATATTGATAATAAGGTTTATTCAGGTGGCGATAAGAATAACGATGGGAACAAGTAATATTTGTATATGTAGACAATTCAATAAATAAATTAGGTCAAATCTTAAAGGTTACGTAATACTAAAGGTGAGGTGGACAGATAATCAGAGTTTAAATAAATATCATAAAATTATGAAGGTGATGGAGAATAAGACAGGGTGGGAGGGTTACAATTAGAATTCACCTAGGCCAAGGGAGAGACAAAGTTAGAACAAACTTCTTTTGTTGCATACAAAGACTAGTATTGTCCTCTCGAATTAATTCCCATAGCTTCGGCTATGTGTAAAAGACGGCTTCGAATTCCGTTAGAAAGGCTCAATAGAATGCGGTTAATAACATGAAGGCACTATTTCTGTCCACTTGGTGACCGCTATAAATCAAATGAACCAAAATAGAACTTCTTACAGACTTTATTTGACCTTTTCCGAAGCATGAAGGAGGATGCTCATTAATGCGTTTGTTAAGCTGTCTAGTTGCTCGCCCTATGTAGCTTTCTTCACAGGAGCAACTAAATTTGTAGATACACCTGGAAGTGGCAGAGCTAGGTAGCTTGTCTTTCTCTTGAGCAATCATAATTGGTCGGCTGTAAAATGACAAACAAAGAGTGGCGTCAGTATAAGTTCGTTTTATTGCTCTCGATAACCTTAGATGTAGGACACATTACTATTATTATTATTTGATCCACAAAATCACCGTCATTGGTTAATTTTTTTATATATAAATCTATGTAAATTAGAGTAAAGCCTGAAGATATAATTGAAAACAGCAATATTGTTCGCTTATATGTCTTGTTCTAATATATATATATATATATATCTTCAGAGCAACTACTATTTCTTTCTGTGCACACAGACGGAGTATCTAAATCCTAATTGGACAATCCTCCTCCCGACAATATTGAATCACTTGTCAGTCGGTCAGTATCCTCTACGAGGTTTATACGTTGCTTCTTATTGAATGTTTTGGCACTTTGACTTCATGTTTTTTCAGGCATATCACGAAAGTAAACAATCGCCTTTCTGTATGATCTATGTACCTTCTCGCACTAACACAGTGAAATTGAAATACACAGCTTAAAGTGTCGATGACTGGTGTACACCGGTGTTTCTCAGGTTCTAGAAGCATCCAATTGGTGATGTCAATAAACATGAGTTTTGCAGTATAATTAGTTCTCCTGACAGCTTTATCGAGTCTTCATCAAGTCAGTTCTCGTATGTTATCTCCTTGAAATAGCGAATCGAAAATGTAGTGATAAACCTCTCTCTCTGTCATAATATCAGTTAAGTATTTTCACTACTTATTGTCTACAAAACAGGGTGAAGCACCAGTTGTCGTTCATTTGCATCTACCTGAATGGAAATCAACACTGGAAGAGGCTATAAAGGCTGGATACAGAGTAATATTCAGCTCATGTTGGAAATTAAGCGAAATGACTCTTGATGACGATTGGAAAAAATTCTATGAATGCGATTTCACTTCATTTGAAGGTAAACGAAAAAACATTTTTAAACGTACATTTTGTTTTTTTGTTTTACATACATACACAGGAAACATTTTTAATAAACAGTATCAACCAAAAGAGAATTCATTAAACCACTTTTCAACTCTTCTTCGGTATAAATTCTGCTTCTAAACACACATTTTATTACATGTTAACCTCTTTTTTCTATTCCCTTACGTTCCCAGTGGAGCATAGAACTTCAAGCTAGAGGATTTAGTTCCGATAGCAATGGTGTTTAGTTTTAACAAGATAGGGTTACTAGCCTCATGCCCAACCTTCCCTCCTTACCGACATTTTATTACTGGTTTGGCGAGGTAAAGGAGTGCACAGGTCAGTGATCGAACCCCATACCTCATGTGTGGTCTGCAAACACTCTACCTCTGTGCAACCAACTCATTAAAAACCTCAAGCCTTACTTTTGATTGGACACGAGTCAGGAACTAATGTAATGTGTCTAGTACAGAATTGACTGAATTGCATCGGTCAAGTTTTCCAACTGGCCAGCATTCTAGTTGGCTCGCCATCATGGTTCACTTCGAATTGTTGATATAAGATGGTCGGAGGCAATCGGCTACAGGAAACCTTGTACCTAAGTTGGTTTTGGGCTAGTTGGCACTGAACCCGAATAGCTGAGTGGTAACGTCTCTGACCGCATCACTGGGTGACGCGGGTTTGAATCTCAGAGGAGTGGGACATGAGTTCCTTCAAGGTTGCAGATATGCCTTGCTGACTGGTGAGTGCCTACGGACAAGCGCGAAAGCTAGGGCCGATTGACTCCAACCATCTATTCTCAACCTCATGCTCTGCAAGTCTGAGTATTAAAATATCTCAACAAATTCTTCAAAGAATTGCTTCACCAAACTATGCATATTTTAAATGCCGTTTTCAGTATTCCTTTGACCAGACCTAAGTAAAATTAATGTGGACGCATATTATATGCTGTTCACCCATATTTGTTGAAAGCGGCTAGTATCTATGGATAGTACTCGACGATGACCAGCGATTGAGGAATTCAACACTTATGAATCTGATGTATTAAAACACAAACGGGATATCCAATAAGAACAATTGTAGACTTTAGAAACACACCGACGTATATGCAATCAAGATTTCTTTCGACAATACTAAGACCAACAAGAGACAACTCAAAAGCTAGAAAAGTAGATTCATTTCAATTGGTGAAGCGACTAAAAACCACTAAAATAGAGGAAGATGAAATACTAGTCAGCTTTGATGTAAACAGTCTCTATACGAAATACCCATTCAAATGGCCATGAATGTACTGAAAGAGAAACTAAAAGAAGATAATCGCCTAAAAGACAGAACACAGTTATCCGTAGAAGAGATAATAAAACGGGTGGAATTCTGTCTGACAGCAATATATTTCACATTCGAAGGGAAGATATACCAACAAAATGAAGGAGTGGCCATGGGATAGCCTATATCACCAATAATAGCTGACATATTCATGGATTATTGGGAAGAGAATGCCCTTAAACCATTCAGGTAATCACTAAAATGTTGGTGGAGATATGTAGAGGACATACTAATAATAGGGAAAAAAACGATATTGAGAAACTCTTCTCACACATAAACGGCCATGTCGACTCAATAAAATTCACTATGGAAGTAGAGAATGAAATTGGGAAACTACCTATGTTAGACTGCAAAATACAATGAATAACAGATGGTAGCACTAAAACGACGCCATATAGAAAAACTACACACTCTGGAAGATTCCTTGATTATCACTCAGCTCATCCACTCACGTTGAAACGAGGATTAATACAAAATCTTCCAGATAGAATACGTAAACTTACAACAACGCCAGAGGACCAGTGTAAAGAAATACACGTCCTATTCAAAATGCTACTCGAAAACAACTACCCAAAAGAATTTATAAAAGATAATATAAGAGAAAAAAGAGGGTAAAACCGGAGAATAACAAGATGGAAGAATGCAAAAAGATAGTCACAATACCATATAAAAATGGTACATCAGAGGCAATTCAAAGAAACCTCAAAAACATTGGCATTCACACAACTTTTAAACCGACAAATCTAATCAAAAATAAAATAAATCAACTGAAAGATCCAATAAAAGTGATGGATAAAAACAACTTGATTTACAAAATATCTTGTGCTGACTGTCCGACTAAATATGTGGGGCAAACGTCCAGATCACTCAAAATAAGAGTGAATGAACATAAACGCCTAACAAAAGGTCAACCAACAGGAACACAAGCCTACAAGAATCTGCACATGCATGGGACAAAAACCACAATATCGATTGGAACAATGTGTGTATTCTAAAAACTAAAATGAACAAAAGGAAAGAAAGACCTATAACAGAATCGATATTCATTAAAGTCACACCGGATACATGTAACAAGGGTGACTCAGCAGCACAACTGTCAAAATCCTGGAATATAATTCTGAATACACAAAAATGAATGAACAAATAAAATCATGAACGCTATATATGAGTACAAATCATAAATGTGTGAATAAAACAATTCCAACAGTGGTGTGAACACGGGCAGTAATTTTGCTCGAAATATTACCAATAACAAAACTTATCATTGTGTGTAAACTATTGAAATATAATTATACTTTACTTGATCTAATCCACAATGCTCAAACTTTTTACTGATATCAACACCAAGGGAAGGTTAAAAATATTATTATTACTACTGACCCCATAGGTTCTGAGTGAAACGTGGGGATTTATTAGCACATCAACATTTCATTCTAGTACTCCTCTTTAGTTGGCTTCACAATTACCCATAAGGTTTCACTTCCTAACCACGCAATCTCCTCCACGTCATCCTCCAGTGCCTAACTCGTTGTGGATCTAGAGTCAAACCTAACTACATCCATAGTAGATGAAGCGGTTAGACTGATTCCTTTAGAACGCATATCTCCGGCTTCTTGTTGCATATGATGATGGTCGCTGCATTATAAAGAAGTCGAAAACTCACTGTTTTCGACAAGGTTTAGTTCACTTTGTACAAGACTGAGTGGTAAGTCAATTGAGATGCTCTGACATGTAATGGCGAGGTGTGTTCACTTGTAGTTTTCTTCCTGAACTAGTGCCTCATTTTGCCAGCTATCCAGGGGAGCTTCCTCTAACACGTTTTGAAAGGACGTGCATAGAATGACCTATGTCCGTAGCCACACAGCAGCAGGTAAACTGATACATGCATAATGACGAAACTCCTGCAAATGACATTTTTCAGCAAATATCAATAAATCTGATGTTCGCTAAAGCTGATTTTTATCTCAGAATTATTCACTAGTGATTTACCCTTACTTGTGCAAGCTCCTTTCTATAAAACTGAAATGCATGGTCTATACATATATTCCTAATCTTTCAATGAATATTAGTCATAATTTTGGTTTCAGTTCCTTCATTCATTTCCTACTGGTATATATCAAAAGATTTTAAACAACATCCTAAATAATCAGCATTATCAAGCAGATCACATCATCAAAAGACATCAGTTAGTGGTAAATCAACTAAACAGCTGTTTCGTCTTAGCTTACGCCTCTTCAATAGACACACCACTAGAAGATTAGGAGTCGAGCCGAAGACCCGCCAAACATTTAGTCATGGGAATGGAACCCAATGGTCAATGAATTATATTTTTGGTCTATTGGCGCTATTTATGGTGCTGTGATTATATTATTGTTATTCTTATGGGTCTCAATTGGAACATAGGGCTTCAACAACACATCTTCTCTTTTATTCTATTCTGTGATGTTTACTATAGCTGGTTTACTCCACGATTGCCCATAATCTATCTTCTCCTCCACATGATCTTCTCCATATAACCCTTGCACCAACAACCCACTCGTCTCTTCCAATTGGAATTTCACTCGAGTGATGGCCTGCACTGCATGCAATGTCATTCGATGGTCTCACCAACGAACTCTTGATGAATCCAACTCCGTTTCTCTTTCATATTTGTTGAGCAATCGGCTCTTGCTTGTTTGTTTGTTCCTAGCCGGCCAGAGTTTCTTGTTGCTAATTCTTTCTGGCCAGCAGGCCAGCCATTTGATCTTCAGTATCGAGCCTGCGAAGGCGGCAGTTGTTGATAAAAGTCAGCATCCACTTGTTGGAAATCGTTTTCGTTTTTCTCAGGTCAAGTTTCTGACCCGCAAAGAAGAACTGACTGACTAACTTCACGTTGGTGGTGAAAATTCAAATCTTGTTCAACATTCTGACTGATTTCAGAAGATTTCCAAACTGGTTTCACGTTGATGAATGTGTATCCTGCCTCTCCGATTCTGGCTAGCTGACCTTGGCATCTTCATCCATGCCGTGTGCCTGTGGTTGAAATGATGCTGGCTGCCTAGATGTGTGAAGGAAGTAACCACTGTCAAATCTTTCCCGTTGATTGTAATTGTTGCAGGTACTTGTTGTGGTGGTGGTTGGTTGATTGATTATTTTCGTCACCTCCGTCTTCTCTATGTTCACCTGGATTCCTGTCTTCACTGCCAGCCAGTTTCTTGGTTTTCGCCTGCCTGTAAGTCTTTGAGTTCATGTTACATATCATCTGCGAAATCCAGATCTCCTAGAGACTTCTTATTGGTCAGTGCAGCATATTCCCGTCTTATCACTCCCCAAGAACGGTATGACGCATAATCCAGCCCACCACAATCAAAAATATCATCGGTGATAATGGGCAGCTAGCTTGTCTTACTTCAAACGCCTCGCTGAGTTTTCCGTTGTGGATCACCTGATACGTGTAACTGTCATATAGCTGTTGGATGAAATGTTGAAGTAGTTTCCAAATTACTTCTCGGTCAACGCTGTCTGTCGAAGACTTTTTCGAAGTCGATGAAGGAGGTCGAATTATTGGTTTTACTGCCATTTTATGAATTCTTCTGTGATGACGATGCGTAGAATTGCTGAAGAGTTCCAGACTAGGAGGAAACAGTTATTCAATGCTTTTGGTAATATTTATAAGTTCTATATCTGCTATAAGATCCGGGAGAAATCTTCACTTAAACCCATTAAATGCTTCCTATTGCCCATAGTTTAATAACAATAATTTTATCAAATCATGTAGACGCCTATTACCATCACATACTAGTAATTTGAATTCCTTTTGCGTTTCAAGTGAAACAACAGGCTTAAATCCTGAGTCTTGAAGTTTCAGTAGCGCTATTGCTATTTTTTTATACCCCGGTGGGTCTGTCAGCCTTTTCTTCAACCCTGGTTCTTCAAAGAAATTACTGCCAGCTAATCGAGGTTCAGGGGTGCGCCAACCTGGAAAGGAACCATCACATGGGGGTCGGTTTTTATGTTCACCAATCATAGAGAGGATATTGAGGTTTAATCAAGCATCTAATGGAATTTTAATGTTTGCATTCTGGAATAACAACAAACACGTTCCTAAAGAACAATTTCCAATTTAGTATAAACGATGGTTTATGAAAGACAGTTTAAGTAGTGACTTTGTTCTCATTAATTATGGTATTTTTGACGCTCTAATTTTCGAATTATTTTTACATTCCTTAACCACAAGTACTTTCCTTGTTACAGTTTGTATGTTGTTTGTCTCAAAACATTTCCATTTTTCCAGCTACCGAAGATCAGTTAGCCTTACTGACTGGTGGTGAGGCTTTATTGTGGGGTTTCAACGTGGATGATGCAAATCTGTTTCCAGAAACTTGGTAAGTAAACTCTAATGAGATCTAGTAGGAATGAGCTTGTGTCGCTGATTTATTTTGTATGAAAATGGTTTGAATTTACAAGTTTTTGGAATACTTGGTGTTTCAATGGAAATTTAGTAGAATGATTCACCGGAATTTATTTCTGAAATGGACATATGCACAAATTCCAGTCTAGTTAACGGTAGTTTCACCACAAGCTATGCGGATTTCCTCCTCCAAACAGGAGACTGTATCATCACTTTTATTCCTTTAGATGTTCTGAGTGGAACACAAGGCTTCATCAAAGCATCTCCACTGCATTCTATTTGCTGCAGCTATCTTTAACTGACAACGGGAACTTAGCGAGGCGTTTGGAGTAAACACAGGAGTCACACAAGGTTGCTTATTATCACCAATGATATTCCTAATTGTGGTGGACTGGATTATGCGTCGGACAGTGGGGAACGAGAAGAAAGGGATGTCCTGGACCGACATGAAGAATCTAGAAGTCCTGGATTTCGCGGATGATTTATGTTTGATGTCACACGAAATCGAGGACTTACAAGCGAAAACCGACAAACTGATCGAAGAAGCAGCAAAGACAGGATTGCAGGTGAACATAGACAAGACGGAGGTTATGAAAATAACCAACCAATAGCAACAACAACAGCAGCAACATCCACTGCCAATACCAATCAACGGGAAGGATTTGAAAGAGGTTACTTCATTCACTTATCTAGGGTGCATTGTATCAACTACAGGAGAAACGGACGAGGATGTCAAATCGAGAATCAGGAAGTCGAGAATCACATTCATCAACCTGAAACCAATCTGGAAATCTTCGTCACTCAGCATCAACAACAAAATTCGGATTTTCAATACAAACGTCAAGTGAGTCAGTTGTTCTATACTGATCAGAAACGTGGCGGGTCACAAAGAATATTTCCAACAGCCTGTTGCACACCTTTATCAACAACTGTCTTCGCTCTATACTGAAGATCAGATGGCCGGAAAGAACAAGAACAACAAGAAACTATGGGAACAAACAAAACAAGAACTAATCGCTCAAAAATTATGCAGGAGAAAGTGGAGATGGATTGGACACTCGCTGAGGAGGCCGCTGGGTGACATCGCACGTCAGGCCAACGCTCGAGTGGAACCCGAAAGGGAAGTGGCGAGTGGTTCGTCGATACAAGGGTGACATGGAGGAGATCGTGTGAGGAGGAGATGAAATAGTATGGACTAACATGGATGCAGGTGAAAAGTACAGCAGAAGACAGAAACAAGTGGAGACGTGCAGTTGAAGCCCTATTTTCCACTAGGAACACAAGGGAACAATAAATAATAATGCAATATCTTCAACTGACTCTATGATTGCCTATAGGCTGGCAATTACTCTCCACGAGATCTTCTTCATGTTACTCTCGTACACCCTAGCTATTCGTCTTCCCCCAATTTGGGGTTCTATTCCTTGGTCTGGATTCCTTAGCGTACGTCTAGTATGTCTAGTTTAGGTTCTTGCCCGATTCATTCCTAAACTTACTACGTTATCCTTTACCGTTGATCACTGACTCTTCGGTTTAGACCAAGAAGAGTAGCTGTTGATGAAGGTCCTCAGGAGTCCGTTTGAAATAATGTTCGCGACTCGTGTGCCAATTTTCATAAGCAAACAGGAGTACTGATTTGATATTACTGTGGAAAATTCAGATCTGGTTCCCTATATTAATCGCAGTAGATTTTCAGGATGTTCTCAGAATAACTGAATATCTGTCTGGCTTTTCCATTTCTGACTGGCTTTTATATCTTTATCAGTGCCACGTAGAGTTGAGAAGATGCTGCCTAGATAAGTGTTGTTAGTGCTTAGTTGGTATCTTAATCCCCTCTCTCTTCTCTATGCTCACTTGAAATCCTATCCTCCAAGTTTGTATGACATTTGGTTTAAATCGACTGCGAATTTGAGATCCTTCTCATCGACCCAACATATTTCTGTCTTCTCGCTTCTCAAGGTCTGTTGCACCAAAGTAGTCCACGACAATGAGAAATATCATCAGTGGTTGTAGGCAGGTCGTCTTACTCTTATCCGCACTTCAACAACATCACTGAGTTTTCCGTTGTGAATCCCCTGAAGCAGTCTATTATCAAAATTAGCCAATAATTCAACGTAAATAGGCCGAGCGGATTCATTCTAAACGCTATAATGCACAGTATTGCATTACAAATATCAGAACATTTCTGTTTCCATGTGCATTCACCTATATATATTCAACCATCTTTGATGGTATTGTTTTAGATGACAACCTGACAACAAATGATTCTTGTCTATATGAGCTCCAGCGAGTTACAGATCATCTTTGTTTGTCTAAATGCCAAAATTATATGGGTTATATAGACGATCAACTAGAAAATTCAAACTTCACATGCTGAAACGAAATATTTATATTATTCACTTGCACAATAAAGGGCAACCCACGGCGTACCTCAAATCTTTGTCTACCTCATTCAACAGCTGGTTATATGACAATGTCAGGTGTCAGGTGATCAACAACGGAAAACTTAGTGAGGCGTTCGAAGTGGGGACAGAAGTAAGACAAGGATGGCTGCCTATTATCACCGATGATATTCTTAATTGTGGTGGACTGGATTATGCGTCAGACTGTGTGCAGGGAGTGAGAAGACAAGATTACGCTGCGCTGACCGATGAGAAGAAACTAGAAGACCTGGATTTGGCGTGTGGACGATTTATGTTTAATATCACACAGACTCGAATACCTACAGGCGAATACCAACAAATTGGCTGAAGAAACTGACTGGCAGCGAAGACAGGACTCCAGGTGAAAATGAGAATATTTAATGATGTCAGAGGTAGGAGGGCGAAAGAAAGACGGGCATTCATTTTCCTGAAATCAGTGTGAAAATCTACGACACTCAGGATAAAGAACAAGATCCAAATCTTCTAAACTAAAATCAAATTAGTGCGTCTATATGACTCAAAGACCTGGCGTACCATCAAAAGTATTTCTAAGAACCTGTTGAAGACTTCTACCAGCAACTGCCTTCACCGACGAACCAACCAATAGCCTATCGTACAACAAATATGCAGAAGGAATTGTAGAAGACCGTTGTGTGGCATCACGCCGTACGCTCTTGAGTAGGATCCGAATACGAAACGATGAGGTGCACTTGGGTCCGAGTTCTAAATGCAGGAGATAGCATTAAAAGGAAATAAAAGATAATAGGCAATCTTAGAGCTAACTATAGGGGACATCAGGGAACAGGATGATGTGGAGATGTGTTGCTGAAAACCTACGTTCCACTCGAAGTTTCATGGAATAATAATAAAAATTGTAGTTCGATACATCAAAAAGTCCACTGTGTACTTTCATCCAAGTGAATGATTTTGTCGTTTGGTTATTCCTTGAAATTTAAACTGCTAACAAACTTACATTAGCTGTCTAACAGATGTTTGTTCAGTCAACATATTTCTCATATTTCATGTTGTATTTTAGGCCATTAGCTGCAACTGTCGCTGAACGACTTTGGTCTCAAGATCCACCTCAAACAGAAGAATTTGCACAGGAATTAGATGAACTTCGTTGTCGAATGGTAAGGTAAGTAATAAGGCAAGTGACAAGTAAAACTGATTGAGAGTTGTGCAAAACTATATAGAAAAATGATGACGTAGATGCATTTTGACTGGTGTGCGAAAAGGTTTTGTCGAAATGAAGGTTCACTAACAGGGGTGGTTTCATGATGAAAGTGAAAATAACACTTGTTGGATAACTTGCATATCGAAGGCCAAAGTTTTATTGATGATGCCTTCAATGACGAAATTCGAAGACAATTGGCTGGAATAACCAGGTCAAAAAGCATGCAGCCAAGAGTAATTTTCGACTGGCTGTTATAAGAGGTATATAATCAATGCACATTACAAAATATTATCATCAAGTGTTGGTTTGTAGCTATTTGATTGGTCGAAAGCTGGATCACGATTTCGTCATCAGTTAAACAACCAATGAGAAACGTGGAAGAAATGAACAGCAGTTTCGTTGTCGTCTAGGACACTTCATCAGTACTCCCCGACTGGAATTCGAGCCGAGGACATTTTGGTTGCAAGGCAAACTCGCAGACCATTTGGCCACTGAGACTCAATCCAATGACTCATGGATTTCATCTTCTGGTAATTCATAAATATATATAGCGGCCGCTACAGGCTCACCTGGTAACCGGAAAGACTTTAGTTCGTACTGAGTCCCAAACTAGAACGAAACTGCTGTCTTGTACTCCTGGGTTCTTTAATAATTCACTAAATAATGTCAACTCATGAGCGAAGTGATAAGATATTCTTCGCCTTTCAGTTCACTGAGGCTATTTGGAAAGTCGACATTGTGGTGTTCACTGTCAGAATATTATTTAAAAGGGTTTCATGAGAATAATTTCAAATTATAGTCTAATAGAAGTCACCTTAACGATCAAATATTATTCAATCAGTGATCACATAATGCAAGCAGCATCAAAAGCCCATCTTGCCACTTGCAGTACATTTTCGTTATGACAAGATGGAGTGCAACACTTCGCAATAACCTAAGAAAGCGACCAGTATTATCGTTGATAGCCAGGAGACACTAGGGTTGATTTCTGCCTGCCTGACGCATCAACCTTCAGCAAGCAGTTTTAAATTTATAAGGCGTTTCTCTCTTTCTTTACAGACGTGGATGGAATGCCCAAGCGATAGTTGGCCCAGGATTCTGTCCTCAATAGTCGTTCGTAGTACATCTGACGTACAATTCATCTTTTCACAACAAACTATGGAGTTAACTATTTATCCCAGTCCAGTTTTGTTCCAATATAGTACATTTTTTTGAGAATATTAAATATAAATACAAAATTTGTGAAAATTTAACATTATTGCTCTAGTAATACTACTAAACAGACTACTGATTAAATACAAACTATTTTATGAAATAGGCATTTCACTAGATGGTTTCGTTGAAACAGCAAGGTTTCCAAATGTTAGTGATTTCATTGGTTTCAAGTTTGATGGTGGATTTATGTTGTTTAAAAAATCATTAAAAATCATGGAGTATTGAATACCTGTTTCGTTCTCGTCTGAGCCTCTTCATCGGTATGCACTCAGGACCCCACCAGGAATGGAATCCAGGACATTTAGTTTACGAGGCCAGCACGTTGACCATTCAGCTACTGCAGCGAAACCTAGTGGCGTAGGAATTCGAAAATATCGGCAAATAATGGAATGTAAATCAAACTGTAAACAAGGTTATCTTCTCAGCTGTACACAAAATTACATATACTTACTTTTCTATATGTGTGTGCACATTAGGTTTGTCCGATAAGGATAAAAATAAGTCAGGGTTGTTGTTGTCAAGATATTTCAAAAATGTGATAAGTAATTCCACTGAAACTAGGGGATGAGGATTCCATTATGGGTGAAATTTTTTTGATAAAGTCTCACAATGTGTTATACAGTAATATTTACTGATGGCCTGAAAAATCAAAAGAAAGCACAGTCAAACTTAACAGAATCGGAAAGACTAGATCTAATTAGTCTAGAACAGGATAAAAACATCGTCATCGCAAAAGCTGATAATGGAAATTCTACAGTGGTTCAGGAAAAATCTGACTACATCAAGAAAATCACGGAACATATTGAGACCGGTCCATATGAGGAAACTAAGAAGCCAGTGGATAAAATAATGAATAAGATTAAAAAATCTACAGCGGATTTAATACGCAGGAGAGAAGCCGTCACTGGGTGAGTCTAATTAGTCTAATTTAACACCTAAAACTAATAATGCTAGTAGAATGTATGGTACTATTAAAATACATAAGCCAGGTTACCCCATACGATCAATAGTGGATTTCAGAAATACCCCTACTTATGAATGATCAAAACACTTAGCTCTAATATTATGCCCCATTAGAAATCCTTCAAACTCTAGGCTAACTAATTCATATGAGATGAAAAATAAACTAAATGACATTCAACTAGAGAATGATGAAACAATTGTTAGTTTTGATATAACTAGTCTTTATACTAGTATACCAATCAATATGGCCTTAGAAGTAGTTAAAAAATAACTAACTGCAGATCCTCAACTCACTCAGAGGACGAAGCTGCCCACTGAGGAAATTATTTTAGGAATTCAGTTATGCCTCACATCTACTATCTTTAAATTCCAAGGCAAAATATATAGACAAACGGAAGGTGTAGCAATGGAATGGATCACCACTATCCCCTATCGTAACAGACATCTTTATGGACAGCTGGGAAAATATTGCTCTTAACACATTTAATCCTACTCCAAAAATGTGGTGGAGATATGTGGAAGACACTTTCACACGCAGTGTTATAAACAGGACATGTCTCTAGCCTCTTCACATACTCACATAAACTCACTAGTAGAGGGAATAAAATTCACATTTGAATCAGAAAATGAATTAGCTATGTTAGATTGTAAAATAAAATGTACTGCGTACTTCATCTTCTTTAATTACACGTTATCTTTATAAAATTATTTTATTCTTATGACCACTTCAACCTTAGTTACAAGTTATCATTGTCCAAATCGTTTTATTTTCTTCAACAATCCGTTAAGTCATCAACACGTGAACACGGTTATTCCCTAATTACCCTCCATTTTTCCAAAATTATGCATTACGCAATCCATGTGTTGTAACCATTTCCATCTTTTAATTATATGTAATAATTTTTTTCGTTAATTATCACCCCGTTGACATGCTGATACTGACTAATTATTGTTAACGAACATATCAGTGCTACTTGATTGATAAATTGTTGTGTATTGTAATGAAAATGCTATACAGAATATATTAGAGTAGAGCCAGAGTGAGATGAGGATGTAAATGAGAAGTAAATATTTCTTTGCTTAATCCTTCTTTTTCCTAAATATGATACGTGGAACAAGTGAAATAATACCGGGGACAGTTAAAAGTGAGAGTAGTAATAATAACAATTGACGTAATAGGGAAGAGTATACAACTTGAATAGACAAAAATGGAAAAATGAAAAATTGGTAGAGCTAAAATATAATTGGGGATTACCATATTTAGCATAGAGGGATTAAGACCATGAGAGTTGGAGGGGTTGAATGAACTTTTTCTGTACACAGAGATTTGGCTTTCCTGTTTCGATAGCCAAAGCTTCAGCAATACAGATGAGTCGGGTACGTAGGGATTTGGGTAAATTACTCTTTGCATTGTAGATGACTTTAAAGGCGGAGGCTATAGAGATAGGGTGATCATTATCGACCAGATGTTCAATGATTGCGCTTCTTATTGCTCCACTTCCACTTGTTACACTTGTCTTTCTAAATCAATTCCTTTCTACAATATTAAATCCTAAATATGTGTTTTGACAACACACCACCACTACCCTTTCTAGAATCTTCACACCCCTAGTTACAGTTTGATTATTCATCACATTTTTGACATGTCTTGACAGCAATAACCACAACTTATTTTTATTCTTATCGGAGAAACCTAATGTACACACACACAAAGAAAAATAAGTATATATGTAATTGCGATTGTACAGCTAAGTGAATGAATTCACCGCCAAAAAGAGACTCTTCTTTGAACTCAATGTTTTGTTTTCATTGATGCCTGGAAGGAGATTATTCATGAATTAAAGGTTATCTTCTACTTATAAGGTATGAAACACTTAAATTTTAACCTTAACTTGTAATAAATGCAGGAAAATAGAATACCATTGTAGTCTTTAGCAAATACACAATGGAAACTTTCAGTGTTACGTAATCAGATGAAAGAGAGGTGAAAATATCCAGTTACCAGGCATAGCAAGGAAAGACTGATAACTGCTTCTTCTTTCTGAACGCATAAATCAGGTTTCAGGCGCTTGATAGAGATGGCTTCAACAAACTTGAGGAGAATTAAACTCTTTTTTGCCAATTGATAATTTTGAACGATCTTGTGATGTTCATTTCATGACCCGTGTCAAGAAGATGCCTGCCAATAGCACTCTTTAAAGCATTTGTTCCCTTAAGATATTTATATTACAAGATAAGACAACTTAGGCAATAGGTATACTGTTGTTTATTGCGGAATAGTTCCCTCCATTCAACGAAAACCAAGGAGTTCTGCATTTTGTCCAGTTGGCATAACGATCACTTCGTAAAATGAAGATTCTGCGTCCGGTGACTGTTGTAGTTGTGGATGCTTACTGCTGAGGAATTCCAGACTAGGATGATATGAGCTCAGATGGAGATTTCGACCGAACAGACTTAGTATCACTAGGCGCTGGGTAAAAAATAGATATTATCTAATAATACCGGTATTGGTATTGGCAGAAATCTCAGCGATAAAGAAATAAATAAATCCACTACCTTATTTAACAAACTGATCCTAACTTCTTCAAGGAAATTAAAAGAATTGAAGCATTTCCATCTAAGTGTATACTACTGATTGGTCGAAATGAGTAGGTGTTTGCCAGTGATTAATGTAAGTGTAGACACTTGGGTACTGTGGTAGAATGTAATTCCTCCACATAAGTTTATTTTAAATATCACATGGTGATGATTCAGTACAAACAACTGGATGACGTTTTGAGCATAAATTATTGTTTTCAAGCATTGGTTTTGTAGGGTAGAACGGTTTCATCTTTAGCTGACATCAGTTAGAGAACTATTGGAAAACCTGCTGGGAGTACAGGAGAGCCGTTTTGTCAGCCTTGCTTTAGACTCTTCATCAGTACGCACCTACCACCGGGGGTCGAACCCATGACATTCTGATTAAAGGGCTAGCGAGCTCGTAAGCCATTCATCAACTGGGACCCGATCCAATGGCCCATGAATTCTAACTTCTGCATAAATTATTGGGATCACCAGTGTTGCCAATAGTGGTAGATATATTTTTGGGGATAGTTAGGAGGATAAGGCATTTAGAACGTATAATTCGGCTCTTAGGTTATGGTGGAGGGAGATATGTGGACGACACATTCACTACTGTGTGGAAATCTGAACAGATCCCTCGATTTCTTACACTTATAAGCTGAATAGTAGACGGAATAACCAATTCACTTCTGAGTTAGAAAATGAACAGGGTGATAATAATAATCCATTTTACTCAAGTGTTGGTTTGTAGGGATTTGATTGGTTAAAGGATTTTCATCATGAGCTGACATTAGTTAGAGAACCATTGGAAAACCTGGGAGTTCTGGACACTCAGCTGTTTCGTCCTGGTTTGGGACTCTTCAGCAGTACTCACCCACCGGGATTCGAATCAAGGAGCTTCCGGTTACAAGGCGAGCTCGTATACCATTAAGCCACTGGGACCCGATCCAATGGCCAGCCCATGAATTCTAACTTCTGCCAATTCACAACATAGCGCGACCGCTAGCCAATGTCTTCGGCGAGTATTTGTCCCCACGCCCGACTTGCTGCACACTACTGGTCACGACTTCTCACTAGAACCCCAGGCAACTGCCTACCTGAATAGGGCAAGTCACTAGTGAGCATCTCATTGATATTCAAGTGTTGGTTCGTAGGGATTTGATTGGTTGCAGTTACACGTGAGGACAAATACTCGCCGAAGACATTGCTAGGAGTCGCGGTATGTCGTGAATTGGCAGAAGTTAGAATTCATGGGCTGGCCATTGGATCGGGTCCCAGTGGCTTAATGGTATACGAGCTCGCCTTGTAACCAGAAGCTCCTTGGTTCGAATCCCGGTGGGTGCGTACTGCTGAAGAGTTCCAAACCAGGACGAAACAGCTGAGTGTCCAGAACTCCCAGGTTTTCCAATGGTTCTCTAACTAATGTCAGCTCGTGATGAAAATCCTGTAACCAATCTATTTTATTCTAATAACAGTACTTATAATACACAATGGAATTCTCAGCATTTGTCACAATATTGCATCTGATTTACTTAAAATATGAATAAAATTAAAAATTAAAACAAAAATTAACCAGAGG